GAGATCATCGGCATTATGGTAAGGAGCATGTTTTTTCCGTATATGCTCGTACAGCAGTTTCTGTTACGCATGCCATGGAGGAGGGCTGGAAACAGCAGTGGTTCTACAGCATCATGGCATCGAGTTTCGGCTTGCAACTCAGTGTCCGACTTGGAAGTAAGTACTCAGCTAGATCTTAGCGCACCTCTGGTTGAAGGCATCGTTGCATGCTGTAACCGTAGATTAAAACAATGATCTGTAGTTGTGTTTGCATTGTTGTCGTTCGCGTGGCTTGCGGATGAATGACCTGTAGTTGTGCATTGCGGATCTGTTAAATCGCTTGCGTCGTGTTCAAGGTAGGAAACGTTTGTTCGATCACAGTGGCAGCCATGACCACTAGCGCTCGTGAGTGGAGAGCGGCGCGCGAAGAAGATATCAGGAAGGCTTACGCCGACAAAGAATGTTGGACTGACCTTGACCGCATTACCTGTTGGCACCCTTACTGTTTCGGGTCCATAGAGGAGTGGCCATTGGACGCTGCCGTGATCTGCAAACCTACGGATCGAGCGTCGGTGCTGCTTGGCAGCATCAAAGCGGCCTGCAGCTTGGAAGACATTTGCCAGGCTCTGTCGGTGAAGGTCACCGTGGTGGTGACCATGTGCGCAAATGAAATGGAGATTCGAGGCGCCCCAAAGGATTGGGCGCAGTATTTCCAGCAAGAAAATGTCTATCACATCAAGTGTCATTTGGAAGACACGACATTGAAGCCGCCGCACCGTTGGGAGGAAAGAATCCCTGACTTGGTAGCTTCTTGTTTGGAACAGTGGAAAATTGTTTGTGGCCAACTCTGGAAACAGTCCATGCTGGCAGTGACCAGGGGCGAATCCATGCACGTGCTCTTTCATTGCTTTGGAGGCATCAATCGAAGCGCTGGGGCTTTATGTGCTTGGCTCGTCGTGGGTTACAACTACCCTGCAGAGGATGCCGTCCAGTTGCTGCTTAAGAAAAGACCTTCCTTGCGCCCTTGGCACAATCGCCCCTATGTCTTGGAGGCTTTGTGGCAGCTGGAAGGTTTGCGGGCCGAGTGGCACATGGAACTGAGCGCGGCGTGCACAAATTGATTTGCACCACTGTTCGCCTGGAGAAACTGTTCGTGGCGAACGTGGTAGATCAGTAGCCAACTGTTGTTTGTCTGTAAAAATTGTTCGATCCTGTAGGGACATCGAAGAAATGGAGTGCAACAGGTGTTATCTATGCCATCATGCTATCGAACTTGTTTTTGTGGAATCATTCACTGCGTACACAAACGAATTTGCACCACTGTTCGCCTGAGGAAACTGTTCGTGGCGAACGTGTTACATGAGTAGCCAAGTGTTGCTTCTCTGTAAGTATTGTTCGATCCTGTAGTGACATCGGAGAAATGCAGTGAAACAGGGTGTCGTCCAGGCCATCATGATATCGAACTTGTTTTGTGCCCGGAATCATTCACTGCGTTCACTTGTTGTTTTTTGGATACCAATTTTTAAACATTTCCAATCCAAAGCTGTGTTTGCGCACCTTTGTTTGGAAGTGAGGTCATACACGGCATCATGGTACCGGGCTTATTTGCTATGTCAAACTCCGGAGTCGTGTTTTCAGTTTCGAATTGAAAGAGCAGATGCTTCGCATTGGATTGTGTGTTATACATTTTTTGCCTCAGATGTAAACGCATGGACCAGATGCGTTTCGCTGAATAGATGTGACGTTTGTAGGTCAAGCTGTGGTGGAAATATCGAAACCTTGCGCTTTCAACTAATACTTCTGTAGCCTGCATTAACAGCATGTCGCGCCTGGCAGCCGATTGCTTTGCAGCTGCGGGGAGATTGCAATATACTTGTATTACATTCTGTTTTCAAATGAAGAAGCAAGAGATTGTACCCATTATGGGTCTTGGTGTTGAAGGATACCCGGCGGCAGCGCCCACATCGTTGGACATGACAGCAGTTAACAACAAACAAAATTTTGGTGCACAAACGTGTCGCATAAAGTATTTGGGGATTTAAATGTGGTCTGCCATGGCAGCGAATGCGGAGGGAATCCGTGCAAGGGCGGATGTCTTTGATGAACAAATTCTACGACACGTTCTTTCATTTGTGCCTGGGAGCTCTGAATTGGCTCCAAAATATTCTTTGCAACCAGAAACCGGACACTATCTGGTAAAAGCTGGTTGGCCAGTTGTTTTGAAGAAAATGTGTCATTGGAAGGAGGCAGACACCACCATCTGTATTTGCTGCGGTGCCAACCAAGAACCCGGCGATCCAAACGAGTCAGACGATAGCTGGACATCTCAGCAAATCTCTGCTGGCTGGGCAAAGATCATGACCGTGACAATACCACACTTTCGTCATCATCATCTGAAATATATCAAAAAAACAGTCAGAAGCATAGAACATGTTTGGAGGACAATGGCAGCCGAGAGATGTTACATCTGCGGGCACTGCAACGACTGCGTTGTGAATCTCGAGTATGAGCATCCTGCTGACTGGCTGGAAGATCTTTCTGCGTTCACAGAGATGCTGGAACTTAGGTCGTGTCCGTGGAGGTGCCCAGATAAAGATCGACCGCAGTAGCCGGATTGCTGCAGTAGTAAAAGCGGCAAACATGCCACATCTGCAGCATCATGGTACCGACCTTTGCTTGGACGCAGCTTGTGGGAGCTGGAAGGCTTGCGTACCGAGTGGCACTGAGTGCAACTGGCGCAAATTAATCTGTAGCACTGTTCGTCTGGAGAGACTGTTCGTGACGAACATGCAAAACCAGTATGTTCGTCTGGAGAGACTGTTCGTGACGAACATGCAAAACCAGTAGCCAACTGTTGTTTGTCTGTAAAGTTTTTTTTCCATCCTGTAGGGACATCGGAGAAATGCAGTGAAACAGGTGTTATCCTTGCCATCATGATATCGAACTTGCTATCATTCACAGCATTCTTGCACGGAGTTCTAGTTTCTTACGGAGCCTTTGTTTGTGTACTTTTGCATTTTGTAGCATTTTCATTGCGACTATGTTTGCCCACCTTTGTTTGCAACTAAGGTCATCCACGGCATCATGGTGCCGAGCTTCTTTTGTATCTCAAAGGTCTTTGTGTGGAAATGCGTCTGACCTCTCTCTCTCTCTCTTTATCTCTTCCCCCTCTTTCTCTCTGTGGTTGCAAGACACATGTCATCTGATGCCCTTTACCAAATATTCTCTTCTTGATCAATCTTACTTTTTTACATCATGTCTTTCCATAGCTCATATAAAATTCACCAATAAAATTCACCAACTATTCACCGACTATCTTTTACGACTACCATACTCAGAGCTGCTTGAAACACATCTTTTTCGCTCTCGGGCCAACCGTCGTCTAGTTCCAATCATGCGTAGTTGGGCGAATGCCCAACAAGCTTTTACGTAAGAGGGAAAGAAGGGTGGGTGGGTGGGTCCGGATCCATAAGATGGATCCTGTTGCTCGTGCGAGACAGATTCTCCGCGCTACTGCGTACTAAGGTGTATTTTTTTATTTGTAAGTGTTTATAAGTGAGACTTACAAAAGTTATGTAAGTCCAAAAACTGATTTATGGGGACTTACGAGAGCTTATGAATTTGTGCTTGAAGACTCATTTCTCTCTCACTAATGGAGTTGGAAAATTTCTATGCTGGAAGCTATTTTTTGGGGGGGCTGTGTGCCAGGAACAGGGTTGTTAGATTTTAGTCGCATATAGGCCGCGCGTGGTTCGTTGTATGTATACACTTTGTATGAACACTTGTATTGAAATCTTTCATAGCCATATATAGACATATATGTTTATATATATGTATGTACACAGCAAATTGCTAAGACACTATAATGATGATTCACCCTCTACCACCCTCTACCACCCTCTACCACCCTCTACCATCCCTCTACCATCCCTCTACCATCCCTCTACCGTCCCTCTACCGTCCCTCTACCATCCCTCTACCATCCCTCTACCATCCCTCTACCATCCCTCTACCATCCCTCTACCGTCCCTCTACCGTCCCTCTACCATCCCTCTACCATCCCTCTACCATCCCTCTACCACCAGACCCTCCCTCTACCATCCCTCTACCATCCCTCTACCATCCCTCTACCACCCTCTACCGCCCTCTACCATCCCTCTACCATCCCTCTACCATCCCTCCACCCTCCCTACATTATGCTCAAACATTTATAACCAGTTATAACTAATAGATGGCCGTAACTGTAAAAAAAACGCTGTGAAAAAAAACTGTCACAATGATTGCTCACACTGCTCTTCCACATTTTTCTCGCTCAATGACGCGCGTGTCAAGAGTTACGTCAACGTCATACAAGAAAAGCTTCCAGTGTGCATCAACTCTTGTTTTCCGACAGCACTACTTTGTCCATCCTTTGGACACAGAACTGAGCAGTTGACAAAATACATGTTTGCGTCAGCAAACTCTCAAATTCCGAAACATGAAAAAACACGGTTTTCAGGACTTACAAAATTTATGAATTAGATTTTGTAAATTTCACAGTGTGACTTACAAACGTTTACAAATAAAAAAATACACCTTAGTAGGACACGCAAAGCGTAACTAAACCCAGTGTGATGGGGACCTCTGGGATCTTTCAAGCTGACCCCGTAAGAGGGGGTATTCAGAAGTTCAACAGGAGCCGACCCCGTAAGAGGGGGTATTCAGAAGTTCAACAGGAGCCGACCCCATAAGATGGGGTATTCAGAAATCAACAGGAGCAGCTCTCGTAAGATGAGAGATCCAGATGCTTGACAGGTGCTGCCCCCGTAAGATGGGGGATTCAGAGTTCTCCCCGTAAGATGGGGAGAATAGTATCTAGGTGCCTTATTTATCTAGATTAAGTTTGAACCGCCCCCTTAAGATGGGGGACTCTGTGAGTAAGATTCACGATTGATCTTATCTTTCAGAATATGTTTGGGTAGCCTTCTACCTCAAGAAATTTGGTAGGAGGGGCGCTACACAGCGTTGCCGGAGGGGATGCCATGTTTCCAGGCCTAAGGGCAGAAGTCAGTGAGATACTGGCTGTGGACTTCACGAACTTGCAGGTGCTTCACGAGGCATTGGAGCAACCTGGAGGCCTGGTGGCATTGGCCGACTATGTGGCGTCGAGATTAGGGGAAGAGCAGGTTCTGGTCGCCCGGGACCTGAGAATGTTCAAAGAGCACTCCAGTCGCGACATGCAGAGAGAGCGGAGGATGATGTGCCAACGGATAGTGAGGCCGCGGTTGGAGGAGCCGGAGGTGAAAGCGGCCGACCTCCAGGACACTTTTGAGGGCCTGCTGAAGAAAGAGGCACTGCCTGTCCGCCAGGTGAGAAAGACCCGGTTGAATCAGAGCCTCACCCTGGAAGTAGGGAATCCCTTACAGGTGGCCGAAGAAGAAAGGATGAGATGGGCGCAGACTCTCTCGGAGTACATCGTGGTTGCGGAACTCCCCGTGGTATCTATGGTGCAGGAGTCAGAGGACCAGCAGAAAAGCTGGGGCAGAATCTTTGGTAGCAGGCGCGCCAAGACATTGAGAAACAGGGCAACAACATGGAAGCGATTTTACATCTGGCTCCTCTTGAATCGGGCACGCCACTGGCCCTCCAAAGTCGGAGATGTGGTGGACTACCTAGAGGGGAGGATAGAGGATGGTTGCGGTCCAGCTGCACCGCAGGGACTAATGGGGGCACTGGCCCTGTTAGAAACGGTGGGGCGCGTGGACGAGCTCAAGAAGCTTTCCAAGGACAGGACATTGTTGGACTGTGTCAAGAACATGCAGATGGAGCTGCAGGTGGGGGCGCCGCCAAAGCGCCCTGCCAGGCCCCACTTGATCGGTGCCATAATCATCATAATCGGCTTGGAGCTGCTGGTCTGCACAGGCAGCTACTGCAACTACACCAGACTGATTGGCTGGGTGATGCTGCTCATGTGCTGGATGGTTCTACGAGCTGATGACGTCCAGTGGATAGACCCGGACCGAATGCACTTGAATGGTACCTGCTTGAGGATGATCTTGAGGAGGACCAAGACGACTGGGCCGGGAAGACGGGCAGTAGAGGTCCCAGCATACATCGCCAGGGACGCGTCCTTATCAGGTGAAGACTGGCTGGGTGAAGGATGGAACCTTTACCATTCAGAGGCATTCCAGAGTGTCAGGGACTACTTCTTGCCTGGCCCCAACAAAGACTGGTCAGGTGGAGCTAAGAAGTTCCTCAGCTTACAGAACCTGAACAGCTATATGAGGTATGTGCTGTCGGTGATCAAGAAGCCAATCCGAGGGGGACGCAATGCGATGGCTTGGATGGAAAGCGGAGAGCCTTTCATCTCCGGTGAGATCACCAACTTCTGGAGCGGGCACAGTGGAAGGCACTGGCTGCCTACCCACGCGGCAAACGTGGGCATCCCCAAGGAACAGAGAGACTATTTAGGCAGATGGCAGGCGGGAGCTCAAGAATCCAATGCATATGTCTTGAGTGCCAAGCAGATCGTGACTTCCATACAGCGGGATGTCAACAGAGCCATCTGTGAAGGGCACGTTGGACTCACGGAAGGCGAGCTGATCGAGGAGCTGAAGAGGTACGGCGAAGATCGTGGAGTGCACCAGAGAGATGGCCGATGGTTTCATGCGATGCTGCGGCTGGCCAATCACAGGTATGGGCTGCGGACGGAATACCCGACCTTGCAGGTGGAGCTGGAGGACGACGAGCTGGAAGAAGTAGTCGCCGGCTGGGGCCAGGCGGTGCCTTTGGGAGAAGAACCGGAAGCCACAGGATCCAAAGAGGTACCCAGAGAGAAACCGTACTGGGTCTCAGTCTCCCGGAAAACTGGCTTCAAGAGGCTCCACAAGAAAAGCTGTGCCTGTGGGGTCCAGTATTGGACCGTCTCGGTCTTCGAGGAACTCGAGTGCATCCCCAAGACGGGGGTGGACGCCTGGTGCCGGGTGTGCTTCAAGACGGAACTGGATGAGCAGGACTTGGAAGATTCTAGCTCTTCAGGGAGCTCAACGAGCACCGAAGAGGAGCGTGGGTGAGGACCACGGCAAGTTTGAAAAAGAGAGAACGGCCGTTAAGATCAGTGCCGTCTGTATGGTTTGCAGTAGGGTTTCAAGATGGTTTCAGAAAGACACATTTTCATTCAGGCAGGTGAATGTCCTGCAGCCCGCGTAAGAGGCGGGAATCAAACTTAGCAGCCCGCGTAAGAGGCGGGGCGCCACTGACAGAGGGGTGTAAGAAGCCCCAAGGGCGTAAGAAGCCCGGGACAGACGGTAAGACTGTCCATGTCCATGGCAGCACGGCTCAAGAAAGGCCACAATGAACTCAGCAAGACAGAGGGTAGGGTTCACTATGGTTTTATGCACGCTGCTTGAAGATGGCAGGTTTCCCAAAGGAAAAGATCAAAGAAACATCCTCTGGGGATTTAATTCCGTATGATGGAATGAAAGAAAGTGCATTAAAATTTTCTGTTTCACTGTCGTTCAGTCAAAACCGATAGAGCGACGATGGCTGCGCCTACACCGGAGGAGCAGAAAGCATGGCTGACCACGAATGTGGCTGCAGATCTCACCTATATATGGGAGGCAATGGGCGTTACACTGGAAAGACAGTATGATTTGGGTCAGAACTACAGAAGTGTGGCGCTCTTTGCGGCGCTGGCCGACACGAAGCAGGAAGCCCGTGCAGCGCTGGGCAGAGATCTGGGTATAGCCCGGCAGCAAATGCAGGGGCGAGGGCCGCATTGGCCAGCGTGGTGGCAGCCTGGCAGCAGGCGCTGGATACCTCAGAGAAAGAGCGAGGCCTGAAGGCAGAAGCGAGGGCCATGGGGCTACCAAAGCCCCTGTTGCAGACGGAACGGCACGCCATGAGGGTGGCTGTAGAGCGCCTGCTGGGGGCGATGGACGAAAAAGAGGAGCCGTCTCCAGATTGCGTTGCGGTCAAGCTGGAGGAGGTGGAAGGCGGCGATCTACTGGCAAGCACTCTGGACGAGGTGGGTTGTGTGAAGGATGACCTTCACGGACAACTCCAGAGCAGTTTGGACTCAGGTGGACGCCTGAGAATCATCAAGGAGAAGAAGAAAGCCAAGATGCCAGTTAACTCTGAGGAGCTGCGCGCAAAGGTCAAGATCGAATCAGCCAGGTTCAGGAACAAGACCTGGTTTCAAGACTTGACCACAAAGACCTTTCAGCGCTATGTGGACTTCCTCCTGGGCGAGAAGATTTTCCAGCTACAGATCCCCAAAGGTGACGGGTCAGCTCAAACCATGGCTGCCAATCCCAGTTGGGATCTGATGATCAACTTCGAACACAAGTTGAGGAAGGAGGCATATCGAAGAACCTCTCGCGAGGGAAGGCCCCTGGCAGTGACTATGGAGGAGGTCATGGCCGATGCAACTCTGAAGGAAACCTTTTTCGTGACGCCCTTGACGTTGGAGTTGGCTCGTCGCAGTGCCTCCTCCACATCGGCTGCACCGACGGGCAACAGCTATGGAAAGTGGCGTGGACCTGAAACTGACAGAGCACCCAAACGACCAGGCCCCAAGGGCGGAGGAAAAGGGAAATCACGCAAAGGACGACTGGGAGCAGACTCCAAAGCAGGCTTTGTCTACTCCACGACACCGGATGGGCGTCAGATTTGCTATTCTTACAACAGCCAGAATAGCACTTGCAGGGGCAATTGTGGAAGAGTGCATGTTTGCCAGTTTTGCCTCTCCCCAAAGCATAACCGCCACGCGTGCCCACAGCAGAAGGGCAAAGAGACGGGCTCTGGACAAGGCGCGGTCCGGTCCAAGAGTCTAACCACTGACAACCGGAGGTCAACGACAGCGGTCTCACCTGGGAGACTTCGCACGAGGGTGGCAAGGACTCTCCTACAGTGCATGTGCTGTATCTCTTTGCAGGTGTCGAGCGGCGTGCAGATGTTCGACATTATTTAGAAGAGTTGGCAAAGCGGGATGGCTATACCCTCAAGGGTTTACAGTTGGACATCCTTCGCAATGAAGGGCACAACCTCCATAAGGAGGAGGTCTGGAATTGGGTTTCACAGCAGCTTCAATCTGGTTTGGTGGATTTATTTTTGGTGGCACCGCCTTGCAATACGCACAGTCGTGCCAGGTGCCAGTACAGACAACATGGCGGACCACGGCCTCTTAGGGATTACAACTTTCCCCGTGGCTTTCCATGGCTGAGTGAGGCCAATATGGAAAAAGTGCGCCTAGCTGATGAGTTGGTGCAGAAATCGTTGCACGGCTGTGCGGTGGTGCTGGCTCATGGAGGCCATTTCTTTTTGGAACATCCCGAACAGTTAGGGGTGACAGCGGGGCAAATCCCTGCAAGCATTTGGGACTTGCCTGAAGTCGCAGAGCTGCTGTGCCAAAAAGGTATGCTCACTCTGGCAGTGTTTCAATGCGAATTTGCGGCGCCCTCTTCTAAACCTACGCGTTTTCTGACGTCGCTGGATCCTTCAGATGTGGGTTACAGAGGGCTGCACAAGTTAGATGAGGGAGGTCGCTACCTGGGCCCCTTACCCAAACACTGTCCCCACGGTCCTCAGGCACACCAACCTTTAGTAGGAAAAGACGAACAGGGACGCTGGATGACAGCCCCTTCAGCCACATACCCTCCAGAGCTATGCAAATGGATCGCCTCTATTGCATGGCCTGCCCTTCTACGCCTGCGGGGGGGGAAACAAGGGCAAACCATGGGAAACAACTCCTCGCGCTCCTCTCCTCTCCCCCGCGGTACAAGCGTTGCAAGTGAAGGCACTGCGGCGACACAAACAAGAATGGAAGGCGGTAAACAGAACTTGGAAGAGGAAGACAGTTTCCACGGAAGGCTTGAGGGCGCGCTCTTGGAGCACCAGGGCATGCCCATGACTTGTAATTGGCATGCCAAAGCTCCCTCTAGCTTCAACGATGGTTGTGGGCTTTGTTCACCGGGGAGGTGGCCACCGAGCAGGCGAAACTTTCAGTCTGGCAGTGTGGGGGCGTTTATCCAACGGTTGTCAAGGCTGGTGCAAGAATTTACACATGAAGTCATACCTGACACCCAGCGGGCATTCTGCGCGCTGGCCTTAGGGAAACTGCAGGTCGCCCCCTTCAGTAACGAGAAGATGGGAGATCTCCGGAGGAGGTGGTTTCAACTTCTTCCCACACCAGCGGAAGCAGGGGTGGTGCCGGAGGGACAGCCCTTCTACTTGCATGCCATTGCCCAGACGGCTCGACTGATGGGCGAGGAGGATGTGGATATTCTGGATACAGGTGAAGACAAGTATTGCAGTGGCAGGATGGTGGGTTTCGAATACACCTTTCCTCGGGTCCCCCTGGTCTTCCGTCCAAAGGTGAAGGAGAGGAAATACGATGAATCAGAGTTCAAAGCGGAGAACACCAATTATGAGTCAGCAAAGGAACATGCGCAACAGATCGAGGTGCAGTTCCAGGAAGAGGAAAGACTGGGGTTTATGTTTCCATTGTCGGAAGCGGAAGCCCGCCGCCGGTTTGGCAGTAGACTGCGGGTAGCGTCATTGGGCGCCATCCCACAAGACGATGAGAGGGTGAGAGTGATTTTCGATGCCACTCATTTTGTGCAGATCAACAATAGCATTGGGATTCAGGACCGCTTAGAATTTCCTGGCCCGGAGGCAAGTGCCACGGTCATGGAAGAGACGCAAGAGGCGGGCCACAGACTGATGGTGGCCGTGGCTGCTGACATAGCACTTGCGCACAGGCGATTCAAACACCGGGAGGAGGACGTCGGACTCGTTGGGTGCCGGGTGGGAGAAGGACCGGTTTGGTTCAATCGGGTTGGCACCTTTGGCGTGGCCTGTGCGGCCAATCATTTTGCCAGGCTGGCCTCTTTGCTTGGCAGGTTGGTGATGCGCCTGGGGGGTCAGGCTCATGCCTTCCAGCTTCTTTTTGCTGATGACTTGAAGATGGTTGCGGCAGGCGAAGACAAGTATGACCGCATCTGGTACATGTTGATCGCCTGGCTGATGTTAGGCACCCCTTTTCGCTGGCCCAAGTTTCGGGGAGGCGTGTGCCTAGAATTTGTCGGCTTCTTCATGGACTACTGCAAGTTTGAGGTGGGGCTTTCAGAGCGTCGCACGGGCTGGATTGTAAGGTGGGTGGAAGAGGCCCGCCAGAATCAAGGCTTGGTGACTCATAGAGGCTTCGTGGAGTTGGTGGGACGCTTGGTGTATGCTGGCCAAGTGTTGGTTTGGTTGAAGCCACTCATGGCCCCTTTGCACGCCTGGAAGTCAGCCATATCCCCCGGAACAGTGGCGACCCTTCCTCAGACTGTGATGGTCGTTCTTCTGTTTATTTCTGAGATGTTGCAGAGGGGATATCATCGCACTTCGGGGAGGAGTCCTATGAAAGGCCAAGGCCAGGCGTTTCGGACGGATGCAAAATGCGATGAGACCAGGATAGTGCTTGGCGGCTGGGAACTTGGTGAGACGGGAAGTCCCAAAGAAGCAAGGTGGTTTGCCGTGGAAGTGAGGCGGGAGGAAGCGCCCTGGCTTTTTGAGACGGACCACCTCCCTTCCCGCAGTACGGTGGCGGAACTTCTCTCGTCTCTTGTGGCCCTGGAAGTCTTTGGTTATTTCAAAAGGGGCCAAGGACCTCGCCACCTGATACTTGAAGCAGGTACCGACAACTTGGCTACGGAACACATTTCGAAGAAAGGGTCCAGCAACAAGTTCCCTTTGGCCTATGTGCAGATGCAGCTTGGTTTGAAGTGCTACCTATGTGGCTTAGTTTTCAAGCTCCAATGGAGACCGCGGGAAGTGAATGTGGAAGGCGGCGATCTCACAAATTTGAAATTTGATAAATTCACTGCCAGTAAGCGATGCCATGTGGACTGGAAGACACTGGATTGGGCGATGATGGAAAAGCTTTTGCAATTCCGAGGGGAGGTCCGAGGTTGGCGTGAGGAGAGGGACAAAGCGCCTCCGTTACAGGCCCGTCCGTCAAAAAGACAGAAGATGGCGGCTAAAACAAAGTGGTGACTCCGCTGAAGGTGGGGTGTCGGATTTCTTCTTCACCACTTTGGGACGTAAGCAGTCCAGTAAGTGTCCAGTAAGAAGTTTGGATCTACAAGAAAGATCCGGGCCTAACTCACACACAACCTTGGAGCTCAACCTCAGGAATAAAAAGGGACTGCGCCCGTTTGCATGCATCTTGCTCACTGAAAGTGAACTGAGGGTTTCTTAGATTCGAGCGTATGTAGGATCGCACCGATTCCCACCTTTCTTTGTTCCTTTCCCGATAGAGTTAAAGCGTAGTTGGGCGAATGCCCAACAAGCTTTTACGTAAGAGGGAAAGAAGGGTGAGTGGGTGGGTCCGGATCCATAAGATGGATCCTGTTGCTCGTGCGAGACAGATTCTCCGCGCTACTGCGTAGGACACGCAAAGCGTAACTAAACCCAGTGTGATGGGGACCTCTGGGATCTTTCAAGCCCTGAGCATCCGATATTGATTACAATCAATATTTTTCAAAAAAAAAATCGATATTGATTTTACTAAAAAATCAAAATAAATATCAATATAAAACTAATGCTTTTGAAGCTTCAAATCAATATAAAGAGTTGGACCAAATGCCTCTTTCTATTGATATCCACTTTGATTTTTATACTCATTTTCCTCTATTTTTATATTGATTTTGAAGCCTCCAAAACCAATATTTTATATTGATTTTGAGTTTTTGACATGGTTTTGGAGTCTGGGAATGTGTGCACTCTGCAGTTTTTGGCTTTCAAGTGAAATAGAATTCTTTAAAATATCTTCACCAATCCTTGCAAAAGGATAAGGGTCCTTGAGAAAGGACAGCAATCCTTGCAAAAGGAGTCCTTGGAAAAGGACAGCAATCCTTGCAAAAGGATGGCCAGGGGTGGGCCCAATCATAAGGCCAAGGTTTACACTGACCCTTCCTTGCTTCTGCAGGTCTTGGGTCAGAAACCAGAGCTGGTAGCAGACCTTGGCCAGTATGAAACAGTCAGCAGGGCAGGGGCAGTAGACCCAGCTGGCTTGGTCAAGGTTGCACCCCTTGTGAAAGGGTTGTTGGCTGTTTGCCCCTCAGCCTCTGTTGCTCCAGGACCTTTGAGGCAGGCTTTGCTGTCCATGCTTACTTCAATGCCAGAAGTTAACAAGACCAAATGGAATGGCAGTACCTGGAGCAACTTGAAGCAAGATAGGTTGGCCACAATCTTCTTCCACATCAGAAAGCTTGCAAGGGACCAAGACCAAATGAGGCTGTGTGCCAGCAAGCTGAATGCAAGTTCCTTTCTGCAGTTGCAGGAGCTGGTAAAGATGGTCAAGCTGCCTGAAGAAGACCATCAGCCCTTGAAAAAGGGTGAAGAAACCCCCTTGCAAAAGGGTGAGTCCTTGAAAAAGGATGAGGATGCAGTTTCTCTGGACTCATCAGGCATTCCAAAGATGTTTCTGACACCAGAGAAACAAGAAGAGAAGCATCCAAAAGCCAGCTCTGCTTCCCATGCCAAATCATTTATGATGAGAAGGGAAGGATCCTTGCAAAAGGAAAAAGGAACTCATGCCTTGCAAAAGGCATTGGGGTATGGCAGCAAGCCTTGCAAAAGGCCTGCATCCCTTGAAACTAAAGTGGAAGGAACCCTTGCAAAAGGGAAAAGCCAACCCCAAGGGGTGACAAAGTCCCTTGGGAAAGGGAAGAAAGCCCTTGAAAAAGGGAAGAAAGCCCTTGAGAAAGGGAAGAAAGCCCTTGAGAAAGGGAAGAAAGCCCTTGAGAAAGGGAAGAAAGCCCTTGAGAAAGGGAAGAAAACCCTTGAGGAAGGGCACCAAGGGATGAAAGATGGCCCTTGGTATAATGTGAGGAAGACAAATGCAAAAAAAAAACAAAAGGACCTACCTCACAGGATGCTTGCAAGAAGGACAAGGGACAAGAAGGATTTTGATTGTAGAAGCCCCAGCTACCTGGAGCTCACAGCATGAATATATCTGTGATGAGATCATGAAGTCCTTGCAAAAGGACAAGATTGGCAAAGAGGAAGCCTTGCAAATGAGACAGGTGCTGGTGAACAATTTCCCTTGACCCTTGGACCTTTGAGCCCTTGGGAAAGGGTAAGCATCCACAAAGAACCCTTGCAAAAGGGTTTTATAGCCCTTGTAAAAGGGCAAGCCCTTGCAAAAGGGAATTTTTAAAGAACCCTTGCCAAAGGGTGTGGAGAAGAAAGCCCTTGCAAAAGGGTGCATGTATATAGGAAGCAGCCCTTGCAAAAGGGTGTGTACAGAATGCAGCCCTTGCAGGTTGTATATAGGCCAGTTTTAGATAAATGAAGAAATTACAAAAAAATGTTAAAAATAAGTAAATAGACAAATTTATTAAAACAACTAAAATAAATATAAATATGTTATTATTAAACCAGCATATGAAAAAAAACATGAAGTAAACTCATGAGAACTGTTTGAAAATAGTTTTGAAAAACATGCGTATTGACATGTGTATGTATATATATTGAAAAACCCCTGTAATGCATATAATATAAATCAGGATTCTGGGGCCTGGGTTTTAATTTTGGAGGGTTTCTGGGTGTTAAAACTGGTTTTTGAATGGTGCAGGATACATATCAAAACGGTGTTGGCTCAGCACTATTCGTTAGTGGTGTTTTATCCAATTCTGCTCTGGCCTGCTCTGGTTTACATATGCATGGTTTATTCAGGCTACCTCCGTCCAGGTCGGCCCAGGTCCGCCTAAGTCTGCCCAGGTCAATCCCAACTTGCAGGTTCTGTTCTCCCAGGTTCTCCCAGGTTCTCCCAGGTTCTCCCAGGTTCTCCCAGGAAATTAGTGATTTCCTGCGATTTGTGGGTTTCCGGGATTTCCTGGGAGAACCTGGGTGTTATTTTCTGCGTTTTTGTGGGTTTCCGGGATTTCCTGGGAGAACCTGGGTGTTATTTTCTGCGTTTTTGTGGGTTTCCGAGATTTCCTGGGAGAACCTGGGTGTTATTTTCTGCGCTTTTGTGGGGTTTCCGGGATTTCCTGGGAGAACCTGGGTGGAAACAGTTGGGGATGGGCCTGGGAGAGCTGCAAGAGTTAGTTCGGGGAAAAGTGGCTGGAGGGTGGCCCGCTATTTTGACTCGCAATTTCTAAATTTCTGCCGCAGGCGTTGCCGCCCCCTTTGGCCTGCAGGTTTGCCACGCTTTAAAGTTTAGTTATAAGCATTACAGGGGTATAGCAATATATATATATATATGTATATGTTTCAATATATATATATATAATGTGTTTGTTTATTTTCACCTCTAACCTTGCACACCTTTATCTACCTATAGCTATCTATCTTGCCACTACTGTCCTATACTTGCAACCCTTTAATCTTCTAGATCTGGCTTCCAGTTACCTATATAAATGCCCATATGTGCAAACCTAGCACCACCACACTTCCTTATTTTTCTCACCAATGAGATATACTTCTTTTCTTGTTTTCTCATACCTTCACCCACCTAAAGCAGTTTTCTATCTTTAACCATTAGTTTGCCTTTTCATGCCTACCATTCCTTTCCATGCATATTTCCTGTATTTGCATGATATATAGCTTTTTGTTTAAAACATGTTGCTCCATACCATGCATATACATATTTGTTATATGTGTATATTTGCACATGTCTTATCTTTTGTTCCTTTCCCACTTCTTCTTTCCTGTGGTGTTTGTCTCTACCCTGCCCCTTGCAAAAGGGTAGCCCTTGCAAAAGGGTGTTCCTTGTATTTCCTTTTGTGCCATGTTTGTTGTCCATATGTTTTTGTCTCTTTTCCTATGCTATGCTAAAGCAAACAAAACATGTTCAGTTGTTAAAACAAGCAAACTAAACACATGAATATGTCCTGCCTGCAGCCATTTTTGGTTCTGAGCCTAGCAGCTATGAGTAGGAAGAAGGAGAAGGAAGATGTGGACATGGAGGAGGAGGAAGAAGAGGCGGAGTGGGAGGAGGATGAACCTTGGAGAAATTCCAAGGGAAGGAAGACTGGTGGGGGCACCACCTCTTGGGCTAGGCAAGCCAGAAGAGCTGCCAAGCAAGCCAAGAGGGTGGTGATGTCCACTGGCAAGCCCCTTGAAAAAGGGAAGGAAGCCCTTGCAAAAGGGAAACCCCTTGAGAAAGGGAACAAGAACAAAGCCCTTGCAAAAGGGACACCCCTTGAGAAAGGGAAAGCCCTTGCAAAAGGGCAAAATGAAGCCAGGTTCCAGGAGCTGAAGGACAAGCTGACTAAGAGCCTCAAAAAGGGGAAGCTTGGTCCCAGGCTGGAAACTGGCACACCCCTTGAGAAAGGGACAGGTGCAAGCAGCAGCAATGCTGCACCCCTTGAAAAAGGGAAAAAAAACCTCTTGAAAAAGAGGAGGCAACAGCCCTTGAAAAAGGGCAATTCCTTGAAAAAGGAAATGTTGCCAAAAAGGTGGCAGTTCTGGAGTCAAAGACTGCCACCAACAAGCAGGCAAAATCCCTTGCAAAAGGGAAGGAGACTGCAGCCCTTGAAAAAGGGTCAGAAAAGAAGCAGTCTCCTGAAGCCCAATCAGAACCTTTGGCTGTGTTGGTTGATTGGCACCATTGCCTGAAAAATGGTCCCCAGGACACTGTGCTGGTCCAGGACCTCATGGCCCTGCAGAAGCTCCTTGACAAAGGAGTGGAGGTGCATGTGCTCTCCTTCTGTGGGGCCAAGCAGGTCCCCAAAGTTGAAAAGGAAATCTGGGACAAGCTCCCAGATCTCATTGACCAACTTCACTGGTGGGGAACCTGCACCAGTCGCACTGGGGTGGGGGGCAAGGCAGAGTATGCCACAGAGTGGGGCTGCCAGGTGGCCTTTGATGATTCAAAGGACATCTTGCAAGAGCTGGGCTCATGGGGTGTCAAAACCTATGGCATCCAGACACCCAGAGAGAGCCATGCATGGATGCCAGAAAACTCCAGGTTTGCATCCTTTGCAGATGCAGTGAAGCAGTTCATCAGAGATTACAATCTTTGAGACTGCTTCCAGCCCTTGCAAAAGGGTGCTCTGCAAAACCCTTGAAAAAGGGTATGGCTCTCACATGGCAACCCTTGAAAAAGGGTAGGTGTCTAGCCCCAATCCTTGCAAAAGGATAACCCTGAAAAAGGGTAAGTGTCCCCACCCCCAAGGATAACCCTTGAAAAAGGGTAGGTGACTGGCCCCAATCCTTGCAAAAGGATACCCCTTGAAAAAGGGATGTCTCACCCCAAGCCTTGCAAAAGGATACCCCTTGAAAAAGGGACAGTGTCTCACCCCAATCCTTGCAAAAGGATAATCCTTGCAAAAGGATCAAATAAGAGCAACCCTTGCAAAAGGGTCATGTGGCTCAGGTCTACACACAGCATTTGCAATAACAAATGCATGTATTTACACACACATACATATACAATATAACATTGTGTGTTTCTGTTTGTTGTGTGCTAACCTGAGCCATAGCCCAGCCCTTGCAAAAGGGTCACTTGTAGCTGCAGCCCAACAGTGGTTTGTACAGAAGCTACCAAATGTGTAGCAAGCAGCAAAAAAATGAAATAAATAAATAAAAATAAATCAAAATAACTAAATAATTAATTTATTAAATATAAATACATGCAACTTTACACAACTTGTTTACACAACTTGTTTTTTAAATTAGAAACCTTTGCCATGGACATATGCCTTTTGAAAACCTGATGTTTTTTGGAGTTTTGCATGGACCCTAAAACAACCAAGCAGGGAAACACAGATACTACTGAAAAAAAAAGGCAATGGAATAAAGTCTTTCCCAGAATGTCAACCCCTTGCAAAACGGGCACCAAATTAAACATTATCCCTTGCAAAAGGGACACCACACACATTCAAGATTTAAGGTGTCAAGGTTCATTTTTGTAAGCTGATATGTTTTCTCAAATGCTGTTTGGTGTCTGTTTCAGGCTGCAGGCAGATGATTATGTTTCTGTTGACTCTGCAGTTTCTTGATCCAAACAAATTCCACAATGATATTTGAAACAACATAGAAACACAGAGTACTAAACTGTTTCACCCAAAATTAAAAGCCAGTGAATTCATACCTGAAAAAACATGAATTAAATTTGATTTATATATAAATATAATAGGTTAAGATGCAGATGGGAAAATCCTTACTTGCAGAAATAAGTGTTCAAATTATTTATTTTAAGAGTCAGACACAAATAGTATCTGGAATCTATCTCAAATTATACAATGTATTTTCAAAAAAAATCCAGTATAGTTTCAATATAGTCCAATACAGGTTTGACAGTGAAATGTTGCCTTACTGTTTTGTTGTGTACAAAAAAACATTAAAAACTATTGAACCTATTTGTTTTGGTTTCGAAAAAGTTTATAAATTAAAAAATATGGTTTTAAAAAATATTAGTGCCAATCCAATCCTATCCAATTCTATCAGTTTATTTGTTTTTTTTTAACAGGTTCATCAAAAAATCCAGGTTTTGAAAATAAAAAGTGAACTTTGATGAAATTTGATGAAAACATGGTTTTCATCAAATTTCATCAAATTTCATCAAAGTTCATCAAAAAAATCATGGTTTTGAAAAAAAAACTGAACTTTGATAAAATTTGATGAAATTTGATGAAAACCTGGTTTTCATCAAATGTCATCAAATTTCATCAAAGTTCAGTTTTTTTAAATTCATTTGAAAAGAAATCAACAACCAGTGATTGAAACCAGATTTAGATTTGCAACACCTTGAAAAAGTTGAGATTAATGTAACCAATGTTTGTTGAACATTGGTTTTGTTATTGAATTTATATGTGTTGTATGTTTGTTTGGTTAGTAACATCCATTTGTTTTGGTTTGGAAAATATTGTAAAACACGTGTTTTGCTTAAATAACAAAAATGTTTTATCTATGTTTGTTTTATATTGGTTTGGTTTGTGTTAATGTATTGCTTTGGTTTGGTTGAAAAATCACGTGTTTTCTTCCACATGCAAGATAATTTAATATTAAATATTTAGTATAATTTAATTAATAATGTACATTTATATATATATAGATAAAAATATATAGTTATTAATGAACATGCTTGTGTATGATATATGCATGGTGTTTTTAATTGTTATGTAGTTTTGACTAGAAAACTATTTATATGCCTTATAATATATTATATGTTTGTTTTAAAACACACACATGAACTAAACCCTTCATGCAACTGCAGCCTTTTTAAACTTCAAACACTTTTAGGAAGAAAATGCCAATTTCCAAGATGGCAAAACCCCTGAAAAAGGGAATTTTGAAAAACAAGCCCTTGCAAAAGGACAAGCCCTTGCCAAAGGGCAAGCCCTTGCCAAAGGGCAAGCCCTTGCCAAAGGGCAAGCCTTCGGGAAAGGGCAAGCCCTTGCCAAAGGGCAAGCCCTTGCCAAAGGGCAAGCCCTTGGGAAAGGGCAAGCATCTCCCCAGCAGTGGCAGCAAGTCCTTGAAAAAGGACAAGCCCTTGAAAAAGGGCAAGCTGTGTGCTAAGAACCTCAACAGACTTGGCAACCTTTCTTTGCAAGAGAAGGTTGCTGCAGTTTGTGAGGAGCACACTGATGAAGAAGATGCTGCCAAGGCCTTGAAAAAGGCCATGACTCCTGCAGAGAATGCAAAGGCCTGGAGCCAACACCAGACCCACTTGAAGAGAAACCCCTTGGAAAAGGGGGAGCATGATGAGAGAGGCAAGCTGGAGAAGGGGTTTGCAGCTGCCCTTTGGCTCTTGAAAAAGAGCTCTGCAGGAAGCAGATTTCTCCATGTCAAGGAAGAGGTTGCTGGCAGCACCTCTTGGAACCAAAAGGAGAAATGGAGCAGCAAGAAGGAGATGTTGAAAATATGGGAAGAAGATGAGTTTGAAGCTCATCTGTCCTCAGGCAGGATCCGCTGGAGAGAGAGTCCCACCACCTGGGGTGTGTGGGAGTACTCAGATACCCAAGACCTTGAGAAGAACTTCAAGGTCACTAAGGGTAGAACCACTGCCAGGGGTGTGGAATATGATCCTGCTGAGCAGGAGGAGGAAGCCTTTGACAGCCTTTGGCAGGCAGATGGCCACACTGGGGTGCTGGGCCTCTGCCAAGATGGAGCCAAAGGATCCCTTGGAAAAGGGAACACAAGCAAAGGCCTTGGAAAAGGCCAAGGCCTTGCAAAAGGCAAAGGCCTTGCAAAAGGCCAAGGGAAAAGCCAACAATTGGCCATCAAGGACAAGGAGGTGGAGGATGAGGAGCAGGATGAGGAGAAGGATGATGAAGATCCTGCGAAACTCCTCAAGAGAGCCAAAAGAGCCAGGGATGAATGCAGCAAGTGCATCAATGAACTGGAAGAGACCTTGCAAAAGGCCAAAAGCAGGCTCTCAAAGATGGCCAAAGATGAAATTGAGAAGAAGCTTCAGGCCTTGAAAAAGGTCCAGGACAAGTTGAAAGACTTGCTCCTGAAGAAGCCAGGTCCACCTACCTTGAAAAAGGCATTGGTGGAATGTGCCAATATGTGCAAGCAAGCCAAGGAGGAGGCCAAGGAGCTGAAGCAGCTTGCCAACAAGGCAGCCAGCAAAGCTTCTACCAGCATGTGATCCTTGCAAAAGGATAACCCTTGCAAAAGGGATGCTGGCTTGCACAGCCCTTGCAAAAGGGTTAGTGGCACAGGCATTCCCTTTGACCCTTGCAAAAGGGTAACCCCTTGCCAAATGCTTCCTGGCCCTTGCAAAAGGGCAGCCCCAACCCTTGCAAAAGGGCAGTCCCAACACTTGCAAAAGGGTGCCAGCCTTTGCAAAAGGGTCATGCAAGCCCCTTGCAAAAGGGTAGTTTTTAAAATCCAATTTTGGTAGATAGAAGCTAGGAGAACTTCTTCACATGCCTAGAAAAAAGTTTGCTGGCTGCAGCTTGGGGAGATGGTGAAGGGAAATGCATGCATGGAAAGGCATGTATAGGTTGAGGTGACATGCATGCCTCTGCAGCTGTTTTGCTTCAAAACTGTAGGTTTAGTTTAGTAGGTAGTAGAGTAGGAGATTAAGCCCTTGCAAAAGGGTAAGTTCCAACCCTTGCAAAAGGGAAGCAAAGCCTTGCAAAAAAAGGCACACCTTTGCAAAAAGGTATAGCAAGCCTTGCAAAAGGCAAAGCCTTGCAAAAGGCAAACCTTTGGAAAAAGGTAGAGGAAAGCCTTGCAAAAGGCAAACCCTTGCCAAGGACACCCTTGCAAAAGGGTCAGCCTCTCACCCCTTGCAAAAGGAAACCCTTGCAAAAGGGTTGCTGGCTCGCACAGCCCTTGCAAAAGGGACACCCTTGCAAAAGGGCAGGTCTTACCAAAAGCAGCCTGGCTAGAGCCCTTGCAAAAGGACAATCCTTGAGAAAGGACTGCTTCCACACCCCTTGCAAAAGGGTTGCAGGGAGAGACCTTGCAAAAGGTCCAGCCAAGTGCTCTTCTGCCTGAGCCTTTGTGAAAAGGCACTTCCTCAGCCATGAAAAATGCAAAGAGGCTGAGAGGGTGGAAGAAGGATATGGATCTGGGTGCAGACACAGAAGGAGAAACCCCATCCACAAGTTCTGCACCCAGCAACTTGGCTACAAAGCTATTGTCCCTTTGGGCACATGGCAAGCTCTCTGCAGTGGAAGTGCAAAAGCTCTCCAACCTGGCCACACTTGATGGTTGCAGCCATCATGAAGTTGCTGGGAATTTTGGAGAGCAGCCAGGAAATTGCCACAGGGCCTTGGTAAGGTCCTTCTGCAACCAGCTGTCAGTGCCTGAGCCTGGCTTGGTCACATGCAAATGCTTTGACCCCAAGACCAGCAAAATCATTGATGAGGATGTTGCGATTTTCTACCCACACCTCATGTTCAGTGCATTGGCTGAGAGTTACCCAGAAGTTTTTCAAAGGCTTTTCAAGCTTCATGAGCTGCCTGAATTTTGGGAGCAAACCTTGGCAAGGGATGATGACAGGCTGGTTAACCATCCAGCAACCCTTGAAAAAAGGGTGGGAGCAAGTCACCATCCCTCTGTTCAC